CGATTTTAATGCATATTCTTGCACAAAATACTCCTAAAAGTGTAGAAAAAAATTGACAGCCAAATACGAGTAGAGGAAGCCACCTATTACCACCAAAAAGTCATCCAACCCAAAAATCCAAAATCATGAAAAAGTTCCAAAAAAATTCAATTTTTCTTAGGCAGACGATTTTAATGCATATTCTTGCACAAAATACTCCTAAAAGTGTAGAAAAAAATCGACAGCCAAATACGAGTAGAGGAAGCCACCTATTACCACCAAAAAGTCATCCAACCCAAAAATCCAAAATCATGAAAAAGTTCACAAAAAAATTCAATTTTTCTTAGGCAGGCGATTTTAATGCATATTCTTGCACAAAATACTCCTAAAAGTGTAGAAAAAAATTGACAGCCAAATACGAGTAGAGGAAGCCACCTATTACCACCAAAAAGTCATCCAACCCAAAAATCCAAAATCATGAAAAAGTTCCCAAAAAAATTCAATTTTTCTTAGGCAGACGATTTTAATGCATATTCTTGCACAAAATAATCCTAAAAGTAAAGAAAAAAATTAACAGCCAAATACGAGTAGAGGAAGCCACCTATTACCACCAAAAAGTCATCCAACCCAAAAATCCAAAATCATGAAAATGTTCACAAAAAAATTCAATTTTTCTTAGGCAGACGATTTTAATGCATATTCTTGCACAAAATACTCCTAAAAGTGTAGAAAAAATTGACAGCCAAATACGAGTAGAGGAAGCCACCTATTACCACCAAAAAGTCATCCAACCCAAAAATCCAAAATCATGAAAAAGTTCCAAAAAAATTCAATTTTTCTTAGGCAGACGATTTTAATGCATATTCTTGCACAAAATACTCCTAAAAGTGTAGAAAAAAATTGACAGCCAAATACGAGTAGAGGAAGCCACCTATTACCACCAAAAAGTCATCCAACCCAAAAATCCAAAATCATGAAAAAGTTCACAAAAAAATTCAATTTTTCTTAGGCAGGCGATTTTAATGCATATTCTTGCACAAAATACTCCTAAAAGTGTAGAAAAAAATTGACAGCCAAATACGAGTAGAGGAAGCCACCTATTACCACCAAAAAGTCATCCAACCCAAAAATCCAAAATCATGAAAAAGTTCCCAAAAAAATTCAATTTTTCTTAGGCAGACGATTTTAATGCATATTCTTGCACAAAATACTCCTAAAAGTGTAGAAAAAAATTGACAGCCAAATACGAGTAGAGGAAGCCACCTATTACCACCAAAAAGTCATCCAACCCAAAAATCCAAAATCATGAAAAAGTTCCAAAAAAATTCAATTTTTCTTAGGCAGACGATTTTAATGCATATTCTTGCACAAAATACTCCTAAAAGTGTAGAAAAAAATCGACAGCCAAATACGAGTAGAGGAAGCCACCTATTACCACCAAAAAGTCATCCAACCCAAAAATCCAAAATCATGAAAAAGTTCACAAAAAAATTCAATTTTTCTTAGGCAGGCGATTTTAATGCATATTCTTGCACAAAATACTCCTAAAAGTGTAGAAAAAAATTGACAGCCAAATACGAGTAGAGGAAGCCACCTATTACCACCAAAAAGTCATCCAACCCAAAAATCCAAAATCATGAAAAAGTTCCCAAAAAAATTCAATTTTTCTTAGGCAGACGATTTTAATGCATATTCTTGCACAAAATAATCCTAAAAGTAAAGAAAAAAATTAACAGCCAAATACGAGTAGAGGAAGCCACCTATTACCACCAAAAAGTCATCCAACCCAAAAATCCAAAATCATGAAAATGTTCACAAAAAAATTCAATTTTTCTTAGGCAGACGATTTTAATGCATATTCTTGCACAAAATACTCCTAAAAGTGTAGAAAAAATTGACAGCCAAATACGAGTAGAGGAAGCCACCTATTACCACCAAAAAGTCATCCAACCCAAAAATCCAAAATCATGAAAAAGTTCCAAAAAAATTCAATTTTTCTTAGGCAGACGATTTTAATGCATATTCTTGCACAAAATACTCCTAAAAGTGTAGAAAAAAATTGACAGCCAAATACGAGTAGAGGAAGCCACCTATTACCACCAAAAAGTCATCCAACCCAAAAATCCAAAATCATGAAAAAGTTCACAAAAAAATTCAATTTTTCTTAGGCAGGCGATTTTAATGCATATTCTTGCACAAAATACTCCTAAAAGTGTAGAAAAAATTGACAGCCAAATACGAGTAGAGGAAGCCACCTATTACCACCAAAAAGTCATCCAACCCAAAAATCCAAAATCATGAAAAAGTTCCAAAAAAATTCAATTTTTCTTAGGCAGACGATTTTAATGCATATTCTTGCACAAAATACTCCTAAAAGTGTAGAAAAAAATTGACAGCCAAATACGAGTAGAGGAAGCCACCTATTACCACCAAAAAGTCATCCAACCCAAAAATCCAAAATCATGAAAAAGTTCACAAAAAAATTCAATTTTTCTTAGGCAGGCGATTTTAATGCATATTCTTGCACAAAATACTCCTAAAAGTGTAGAAAAAAATTGACAGCCAAATACGAGTAGAGGAAGCCACCTATTACCACCAAAAAGTCATCCAACCCAAAAATCCAAAATCATGAAAAAGTTCACAAAAAAATTCAATTTTTCTTAGGCAGGCGATTTTAATGCATATTCTTGCACAAAATACTCCTAAAAGTGTAGAAAAAAATTGACAGCCAAATACGAGTAGAGGAAGCCACCTATTACCACCAAAAAGTCATCCAACCCAAAAATCCAAAATCATGAAAAAGTTCCCAAAAAAATTCAATTTTTCTTAGGCAGACGATTTGAATGCATATTCTTGAACAAAATACTCCTAAAAGTGTAGAAAAAAATTGACAGCCAAATACGAGTAGAGGAAGCCACCTATTACCACCAAAAAGTCATCTAACCCAAAAATCCAAAATCATGAAAAAGTTCCCAAAAAAATTTAATTTTTCTTAGGCAGACGATTTTAATGCATATTCTGGCACAAAATACTCCTAAAAGTGTAGGAAAAAATTGACAGCCAAATACGAGTAGAGGAAGCCACCTATTACCACCAAAAAGTCATCCAACCCAAAAATCCAAAATCATGAAAATATTCACAAAAAAATTCAATTTTTCTTAGGCAGACGATTTTAATGCATATTCTTGCACAAAATACTCCTAAAAGTGTAGAAAAAAATTGACAGCCAAATACGAGTAGAGGAAGCCACCTATTACCACCAAAAAGTCATCCAACCCAAAAATCCAAAATCATGAAAAAGTTCCCAAAAAAATTCAATTTTTCTTAGGCAGACGATTTTAATGCATATTCTTGCACAAAATACTCCTAAAAGTGTAGAAAAAAATTGACAGCCCAATACAATTCTTGGAATCGATCCCCCGATGAAAAATGAACATTTTTGAAAATGGTGTACATCGCTGCCATATTGGACTACAAGTGAAAAAATTTTTTTTTTCATATTCTTTAATAAGTTATTTATAACATGTAAACAAAATTTTTTGAATAAATGTCATTGTTTTTTTAGAAATACATCATAAAAAAGCCTTCTTTTTCCCCATTTTGAACTGGAATGTCCCCTTAAAAGTAAATTTATTGTGTCTCCTTTAGGGGAGTTTTACAATTGAAGGCGAACATAATTTAAATTAACATACATTGTTTTAAGGTACTTCCACAATAGAAAGATGGAATCATATCGGAAAGTTGCCATTGTCCCCCACTCGCTATTTTTCATAATTCACAGTCAATTACCGCATCCTTTCTATTATATCCTTTAAATTTGAGTCACTTTAGGGTATTTCCACAATGGAAAAAAGGGTACTATAACCTTCCAATGTACCTCATTTTAGGGTATTTCCACAATGGAAAAAGGGCACCATAAGTTCCAAATTCAGATTATTGTAGGGCACCATAACCTTCAAATTTACGTCATTTTAGGGTATTTCCACAATGAAAAAAGGGATTTCATCGTTTTTTTACGTTTTTTCAGGTTGGCATTTCAAAGAAGCATGCAATTACTCCACAGAGTAATTATCGGAATCAATAACACCATTTTTTCAACATATGATCCGACTTATGAGGAATTAATCGTTGAACTTATCAGAAGTACGAGCTCATTAAAAATGATTTGCATAATATTACATATATATTTTATGTATATATTAAAACAATAATAATAACAACAACAATTATATATATATATATAAAATCAGCATTAGATGAAGAATTGTTGGGAAGGTCTCTGATGGTCATTTATAAATGCACTTTGTCGAGGCCAATCATTAAATAAAAAGGGATATATGTTTATTTCAAAAGTGGACTGAACCGGTATCAAGTTTAATATGACATTTGACGCAATATGTCAAATGACAGTATGTGTATGTGTGACTTTTCCTATAAAAGCTGTGTACCTTCGTCCAAGGATCATCATAACATCTTCTATAGTGTCAGGTAGGTTCACACCTTCACTATTAATTTTTTTTATTTTTCCCCAAAAAAAATAAAAAAAATATATATATATATATAATATAAAAATATATATCGCGATTGCGATAACGGTTACGTTTCTATTTTGCTCTGGCCTTTAATGATTAACCTAACTTGTACCTAACTTGTACCTAACCTAACCTAACCTAACCTAACCTAACCTAACCTAACCTAACCTAACCTAACCTAACCTAACCTAACCTAACCTAACCTAACCTAACCTGTACCTAACTTGAAACTAACCTAACCTAACCTAACCTAACTTGTACCTAACCTAACCTAATAATTAAGTTTTTGGTACTGACAGTGCAACACGACATGTGGTTCTGTCGGTAAATGTAATCTTCCTTATCGACTGTTAATAATTAACGGCGGGAAATTTCGACCGGTAATTATCAAGTGTCGATAAGGAAGATTACGTTACCTACAGAATCACATGTACAGTGTTGCATTGTACAACCAAAGTAATATTTCATTTTTTTCCGACACTTTACATGTAGTTTTATACTTTTTTAATCATATATTTCAGATAAAACAATGATTTTTAGTATTATTTTTACATCATTGTTAGCAATAAGCTGGTCAGTAAGTCCACCACAATTGCAAGAAAGAGATGTGGCAATTCCAATTCTCAGTCAATCATCGGAAGTAAGTCCCGATGGGACATTTTTCAATCAATACGAAACTGCAAATGGAATTACATATGAGGAACGTGGAATTTTAAAAAATATTGGACAACAAGAGGAAGCTGCCTCAGTTCAAGGCACTGCTAGTTGGCCCTCACAAGATGGCACTCCAATTCGATTAGATTGGCAGGCTGATGAAAATGGTGCCATTTTTCAAGGTGATCATATACCAACACCACCGCCAATTCCAGTACTCATACAACGTGCTCTCGATTGGCTAGCTGCTAATCCAAATCGACAAATAGATGATAAAAAAACGTAAAAAAAATTACCTGAAATCCTCCTCATTATATGCAACAGATTAAAAATTTTAAATTAATTTTTCTATTTACAAATTTTTATTTATTATAAAATTTTGTTATAAATAAATTTTATTTGTAATTAAAATTTATTTGGATATTCCAAGATTAATAATTTATTTTGGTTTTATTAATGTGGTATTATTAAAAAATTCCTTAGTGTACGGCCACACCTTGGTCGTCATGGTAACGCATAAGAGTGAGAGAAATAAAGTATGTTTTTATTTCTCTTACTCTTATACGTTACCATGACAACCCTATATTTAGATAGCAGAGCTGTGGACGCACCCTTAGGATAAGGGCACCATCGTTAGTTAATAAAATTTAAATCTAATTCATAGTTCAAAAACATGAATTTTTTTATTAAAATATAGCTCTGTACCGGAAACAATAATCTCAAGTATTTAAATCTAAAAAAAATTTGTAAATTCATATTAAGAATTGTGACGTCAAAATTAATTCTTTACTATTATCGATAAACTGTTTTAATTTTACTTGACATAACCTCTATTTTCGGTGACGGAAGATATAAAAATTAAATAATTTAATTTAACTAGTTAATTTAATTTAACTAATTAATTTAATTTAACTAATTTTTTATAATTTAACTAATTAATTTAATTTACGTAACGTCCCGTGTGGAAAAGTGATGTGGGCCCCCAGCGGGGGCCCTTATGGATCGCCCTCATGCCATGAGGGGCGCATATGGATGATCCATAGGGGCCCCTCATGGAAACGACATGCTCATCGATGAGGGCGCCCGCATGGGCGATCCATGAGGGTGCCCCTACGGGCGCCCTTATGGGCCCTCACGTTTGCCCTCATCTTGCCCTCAAGTTTGCCATAATGTTTTTTAATCAATAATATTAATAATAAAAGTTAATTGATAATAAATAAGCTTAAGTTATGAATAAATAACATATTTATTTAATAATTATTCAATTTTAAATTAAATTCTTACTCAAATTGAATTTATTAATTAACGTTCTAATTAATTAACTGTCGGATATAATTAAAAGTAATAATAAATTAATTAATTAAAAAATTAAAAAATATGTAATTTATGCATACTATTAACCGATATTTTCATTTTTCAATTAATTCATACATAGAATTAATGATTAAACGCAAACCTGAGAAATAAATAAATCTAACGCATGGGGGGAATCGAACCTACGACCTACGGACTATGAGTCTAACGCTTTACCAACTACGCTACGCACGCTACTTCAAAACGAATGCTAACTTCTTGATGCTATTTAAACTTGAAAAATACCTAACAAAGAAAAGTGCTTAACATCATTTAGTTAAAGTTAAGATATTAAATTATATTTTCCAATCAAATGCAATTTATAAAATATAATTAATTATATGCTTTATGATTATTATCATGAATCATCTCAGGCGAATTTTCAAAAAAGTGTAAATATATTTTTATTAAAAACGCGTTTTTCGTTGTTTTGAATCATTGGAAACATTCATTTTTTGTTGATAAAAAAATATTTGATTTTTGGACTTAGAAAATTTTGCTAATCGATCATGAGGGCGATCCATGCGGGCCCCTACGGTGGCCCTCATCTATTTTGCCATAAGTGTGAGTGTTATTTTCAAAAAAGTGTAAATATATTTTTATTAAAAACGCGTTTTTCGTGGTTCTGAATCATTATAAACATTAATTTTTTGGTGATAAAAAAATATTTGAATTTTGGACTTAGAAAATTTTGCTAATCGATCATGAGGGCGATCCATGCGGGGCCCCTACGGTGCCCCTCATGGATTCGCCATAAGTGTGAGTGTTATTTTCAAAAAAAGTGAAAATATATTTTAATTAAAAACGCGTTTTTCATTGTTGTGAATCATTATAAACATTAATTTTTTGGTGATAAAAAAATATTTGAATTTTGGACTTAGAAAATTTTGCTAATCGATCATGAGGGCGATCCATGCGGGGCCCCTACGGTGCCCCTCATGGATTCGCCATATGGATCAGCCCTCATGGGCCCCCGCCGGGGGCCCCGAACTCTTGAGGGCAAGATCGTGGCTTTTTCCACACGGGGTCTAGAAAAAATAATTAATTATTATTGATGAATTAAAAAGAGTTCCTTAGTTACCCTAATAATACATCCCTGGATTATTTTGTTTCGTAGCAGAAGACAAAAGAAAACCGGTACATGATCATCATTTTTAATTTTTATTAAAATTGATTTCCTTTTTCTGAATTTCGTTTAATGATTTGATTATATAAAAAAATTATATAATTATTATTATTATATAATCTTTCATCATAAAATGATTTAATTAAGTTTTTCCATTTAATTAATATGTGAATTTGTTAAAATAACATATATTATTGACGATATTAATTAAATTAAATTGCTGATGATATGAATTTCTATTAATTAATGATGATATTAATTTTTATCATCAACTATTAATAGGAATTTAAAACATCATCACTTGATGTTAATTAATATCGCCAATAGTTAATATTAACTAATAATAATATTTATTAATATTAATTATTGACCATATTAATTAACATTAATAGAAAATAGTATAAATTACTATTAAATAATGACGATATTAATTAATATTAATTTATATCACTATCGATTAATGTTTATTAATATCGTCATTAATTAGTAATAATTAATTTAATAAAAATTAATAATAATCAGTGATTAATATTAATTATTATCATCATTTATAAATGTCAATTAATATCGTCATTAATAAATACTAATATAGATTAATTACAATTAATGTTAAGTACTTCCGTAATTTATTAATAGCGATATTAATTAATGACGATGTTATTTAACATAAATTGATAAGATTAATTAATTGCAATTTTAATTAATAGTAATTTACATCATATTCAATTAATTTTGTTAATAATAATTATCATCATTTATTATTAGTAATTTATATCATAATCTATTAATGTTTATTTCTATCGTTATTAATTATAATGAATTAATAGTAATTCATATCTATATTAATTAATGTTGAGTAATATCGTTATTAATTAATGATGATATTAATTAATATTAATTAATAATAATTAACGATAAATATAATAATTAAAAGAAAGTTATAATAGTAATTAACGGTGATATTAATTAATATCGTCATTAATTAATATTCATTTATATCATCTTCTATTAATAATAATTCATATTATCATGAAGTGATGTTAATTAACATCGCCAATAATTACTATTAATTAATATTAATTATTGGCGATATTAATTAATTATTAATTAATCGTCAATAATTAGTATCAATTAATAATAATATTAATTGATATTAATTATTGGCGATATAAATTAATATCAATTTTTGACGTTATCAATTGCTATTAATTAATGATTATATTAATTAATATTAATTTATATCATCATAGCTTAATGTTAATTAATATCAACAATAATTAATATTAATTAAAAATTACATTAATCGATATTAATTATTGACCATATTAATTAACATTAATAGATAATAGTATAAATTACTATTAATTAATGACGATATTAATTAATATTAATTTATATCATTATCGATTAATGTTTATTAATATCGTTATTAATTAATAATAATTAATTTAATTAAAATTAATAATAATTCATATCATCATGAATTGATGTTTATTAATATCGTCAATAATTAATATTAATTAATTAAATTAATATAAGTTTAATATTAATTAATTCAATTAATATTAGTTTACTATTAATTAATTGAATTAATATTAATTTAATATTAATTAATTGAATTAATATTAATTTAATTTTAATTAATTTAATTAATATACAATTATTGAAATAAAATATTTGTTAGCACTTTGACGATTATTAATTTTCTCGAATTTTCCCTTTATATTTATTTTGACAATTCCCTTAAAATTTATTGATTTGTTATTGATATTTTTTATTTTGGTGAAATAAAAATTTTGCAGAAAAATCGGTTTTTGTGGAAATTATATCAAATTTAATTTTAATTTCTATAACAATTAATATTAATATTTTTTATAATTATTTCTTTTTTTTGAAACTTGTATATTTTTATATTCATTAAGGAATTAAATTTTTTTTTTAGAGATAGATATAAACGTGTCAGAAATGCATTAAAATTTACAAAAATCAGACACGCACCTTCATTACTATTATATATATCTATAGTATTATAATGAAAAGTAGAGGTCAGAGATCGTATTGCAGCAATATATTTATATGAGGTAATAGTGCCGCGCTCAGTAGCAAATGGACGAGCAAATATATATATAGTTTTTCTCTCTCTTCTATTCCCTTGTGTGTGTCCTCATTTGGATATATATTAGCCGCAGTTCAATTTGAAATACTACACAAATCGTTATTATACTATACTTGTCAGATGATTACCTAACGTTATATAGGAAGATTTCAATTGAATCTCAGCAATCATCGCACATACGCGAATAGGTCAAGTTTCTATAGGGGGAAGAAAAGAAAAAAACTTTCAAAATCTATTTTATAATTTTCCAAATTTTTCCCTCCTTTATTCCGGTATTGTAATTAATGACAATTTTGTATTAGTAATTAAATTAATTAATTAAATTAAATTAATTGCACCGTAATTTAAATCACAAATGAAAATTCTATCAAATTAATTTTAGGTATTGCTTCTAATTAATTTTGGGTTGAAAATAATAAATATAAAATTCTCACCGAACGCAGTATTTATTTTTGTTGAAGTACATCCCTCTCGTAGAAATAGTGGTATAGTAAAAATATATTAATATATTTAATAATAGGCGGTAATAAAAAAAATCACTAAAAATACAAGTTATAGATAAAAAAAAAAATAAATATGTACAACAATAAATTACCAGTCCTTTATATAATATAACAAATTGAAAAATATTCATACAAGGGACATGGCGATATAATCATCAAATATATCAATAATCAAGGTCAGTTTTTGAGATCGCAGGTCCTATATAAAAATGAAAAAGTAAAATGTGTGTTTTTTTGTATAAATTTAAACATTATTTTGATCCTCCTTTGATGGATTAGCGGCTATCCATTCGAGTGCTCTTTGAATTGCCGCTGGTATTGGTGGTGATGTTGGTAAATGTGCACCCTCTGGTTGAAAGCCATTTTCATTTGCGATATATGTTAATGAAATTTCTTGACCCTCATTATTTTTATATGATACCGAACCTTGTGCTTCGACAGCGGCATTTTCTGAACCAGCATTTTTCACCTGTCCACTTTCCTCGGCTTTTATTCCATTTCCAGTTTCATATTTCCAACTATATGAACCATCGGGATTTGGTCCATCTGATTCTTGGGAAACAATGGGAATTGGTTCATCAGCCGGTGCCGCAACAGCACACGCTGCAAGCGCAATTACTGCTATCTATATTCAAAAAAAAAAAGAAAACAATATTTAAATAATTGATAATTTTGAAAAATTTTTTCAAGAAATATTAATGCAATTCTACGAATCAGTTACCATAGCAACGTTTTCTATGGAAATTGCTTCGTAGCAATCGTTAGATGTTCGCGTTACAATTCGTTGAAAAGAAGAAAAAGAAAGAAAGAAAAATTAATTCTTCGGGAATAAATTATTAATACACTGAATGGAAAAGTGTGGGATAGACCGTATCGATGTCGGTCTCTGATGTTGTTGTATTCTATCCTCTTATGTACAAGGCAGTAATTCATGATCTTTTGATAAGAATAATACATTACATCGCACCTTTAACGCTCGTTATAATATGTGTCGCAATATATTCATTCTGTTCATTTTACTATATGGTCCCCTCCACCCTTCTATATCCTCAACTTTTTTTTTGTCAATTTAAACTTTTTGGTATATTTAATTTATAGAATAATTGAAAAAAATGAGGTTCTACAATTTTTTTTTATATGCAGTTTATAGATAAATAGATGATATTAATTAATATTAATTGAAGATGATATTAATTAATATTAATTATAGACGAAATTAATTAATATTAGTTGATAATGATATAAAATAATATTCATTAATGATGATATTAATTTATATTAATTAAAGATGATATTAATTAATATTAATTATAGACGACATTAATTAATATTAGATGATAATGATAAAAAATAATATTCATGAATGATGATATTAATTTATAATAATTAATATCATCATTAATTAATAGTAATTTATATCATTATCAATTGATGTTAATTAACGCCATCAATAATGAATATTAATTAATAATGATATTAATTAACTTTAATAATTGACGATATTAATTAACATCAATTGCTTATGATATGAATTACTATTAATTAATAATGATATTAATTTATATCATCATCTATTAATAGGAATTTAAAACATCATCACTTGATGTTAATTAATATCGCCAATAGTTAATATTAACTAATAATGATATTTATTAATATTAATTATTGACGATATTAATTAACATAATTCGATGATAATATGAATTACTATTAATTAATGACGATATTAATTTTTAATAATCGCTGATGATATGAATTACTATTAATTAATAACGATATTAATTTATATTAATTAATGATATAATTTTTATTAATTTATATCATCATCGATTAATAAGAATTTATATCATCATAGCTTAATGTTAAATAATATCATCAATAATTAATATTAATTAAAAATTACATTAATCGATATTAATTATTCACTATATTAATTAACATTAATGGATAATAGTATGAATTACTATTAATTAATGACGATATTAATTAATATTAATTTATATCATTATCGATTAATGTTTATTAATATCGTCATTAATCAATAATAATTAATTTAAAGACTATTAATAATAATCAGTTATTAATATTAATTATTATTATCATTTATAAATGTCAATTAATATCGTCATTAATAAATAGTAATATAGATTAATTACAATTAATGTAAAGTAATTCCGTAATTTATTAATAGTAATATTAATTAATGACGATGTTTGTTAACGTAAATTGATGACATTAATTAATGGTATTGTTAATTAATAGTAATTTACATCATATTCAATTAATTTTGTTAATAATTAATATCATCATTTATTATTAGTAATTTATATCATAATCTATTAATGTTTATTACTATCGTTATTAATTATAATCAATTAATAGTATTTCATATCAATATTAATTAATGTTGAGTAATATCGTTATGAATTAATGATGACATTAATTAATATTAATTAATAATAATTAACGACAAATATAATAATTAACAGAAAGTTATAATAGTAATTAACGGTGATATTAATTAATATCGTCATTAATTAATATTCATTTATATCATCATCTATTAATAATAATTCATATTATCATGAAGTGATGTTAATTAATATCGCCAATAATTACTATTAATTAATATTAATTATTGGCGATATTAATTAATTATTAATTAATCGTTAATAATTAGTATTAATTAACAATAATATTAATTGATATTAATTATTGGCGATATGAATTACTATTAATTTTTGACGATATCAATTGCTATTAATTAATAATGACATTAATTAATATTAATTTATATCATCATTAATTACTAATGGCATTATTTAATATTAATTTATATCATTGTCGATAAATGTTAATTAATATCGTAATTAATTAATATCATTATTATTTAATGATGATATAAATTAATATTTATTAATAATAGATAATTACGACATTAATTAACATTAATTGATGACGATATAAATTAATATTAGTTGACGATGGTATAAATTAATATCATTTTACTGCAATGTAAATTTGTATATCAAGTTTCATTGCAATCTATTCTTTATTGTAAAAAGTATATCAGATTTTGTTAACTCAAAGCTTTTTCAATACAAAAAAATAGTTTTAAAATCGGGATTTGAATTTTGAACATTTGTATAAGTAAATACAAAAATTTTTTTTATTTTTCTCCCCATCCTCCTAATTCTTGGTAATTTAAAATTAATTTAATATTTAAAAATAATCCAATTATTGAGAAACATGGCACTTTTGACACTCACGAAAATCACTCGCGTTTCTCAACGTCCGATGCGATGCAATAATAATATAAGAAAAGCGACGGGAGCGCGCGCGTCACATAACTGAACTAATTTCCACCTCGTTTTCATTTCAAAGCGTCATTTGTATATTATATAGTTAAAAAGGGAAATTTTTTTTTCTCAAATGAAAAATTGTCAACCACCCTTTTATTTTTTATGAGCGACGCTTACCAAAGATGGGAACATGCTGCAGCAATAATCGTTGACTGGTAAGTGTTTATCAAGCCCGGCAGCACTCGGCATTTATATACCCCTCAAGGCATTAGCGGCGAGGTTGAGGATGTTTCACGACCCCGCCATCTTTGCAAAATATATATATGTATTTTTCTACATATATATATATATATATATATATATATATATATATATTTCTCTCTCTCAATATATAAAATATATATATATTGAGAGAGAGAGAGAAAAATATATATTGAACATGGGAAGGTATTTACACGCGCCAAGGGTACACATATACGGATGCTGTGTATGCATATATTTGCTATCCGTAATCGTATCTTTTGTAAATGTATGTGTGAGTATACAATATCTATGAAAACAACACACCATATACATCAAAGATTCCTTAGGATCACTATGTCGCAGTGAGCTAAATGTCATCGAGTATATCGTTAAAGGATACTTACTCAATTGTCATAACTTCTTTATAGACGCCACCGCACTAAATTATCTTTCTCTCTTTCGAGACAAAAAACACTATACTTTTTAGGAATAACCTCTTTATGTATATATATTTTCACTTTGATTTTTATGACACTTTGCGTACGTTTTATGACGCAATTATATTTTCTACGATAGTAAAACAATAATAATAATAATAATAATAATAATAATAATAATAATAATAATAATAATAATAATAATAAAAGTAATAACAATAATAATTGTAATATTAATAGTAATAGTTTTTAATAAAATAATAATAATAATAATAAAAATAATTGCCCATATATTATTCATTAAAACTAGTAAACGATCATAAACATAACCTATAATTTTTTTAATAAAAGTAATCATAAATATAACCTATAAATTTTTAATGAAAACTAATCATAAACATAACCTAACATTTTTTTTACGAGACGTATGAACAATATCAATAAAATTAATTTTGTTAAAATTTTTATTTAAATAGAATTTTATTTTAGCCTAATTTATATTTATTTGAATGGATTTTCTACATTGTAGAATTTTTTTTTTTTTAATGCAAGAACAAAAACAATCGAAATATTTACAGACACTATTAACTTGACGATAAACATTTCCTGATTGCTTTTAATTATGTTTTTATTTAATAGTATTCATAAAAACTTTATTTATTGGTATATATATATATATATATATATATATATATATATATATATATATTTATGAAATTATGTAATTTTCTCATTTCACAAAGCAACAACAGAGGACAACATAAATCTGTCAAAATATCGTATAGGATGTAAAGATATCTCAGCGATACAAAGATATATGTCATTATTCATTCTAGTACAGAAATAATCTTCAACGATAAACTACATGTTTTATGGAGAAGACATTTTCATTAATTTTATACATATATTTATTTTATATATATATTTATATATTGTTCAATATAACAATACTATCAAGAATATTATTTTTAAAAAAATAAACAATGAGATTGAGAAACAAATAATATTATAGGTATATAAAATTAAATTTATAAAATAATTTAAAAATTATTAATTTAAAATAAAGTTTTCTTCAATAATTAATTATCGACCGACAGTAAAGTAGGAATCTACCATACCATCGGTCGGTAATTTTTTATAATTTCATTTTTCTACTTAACCGACTAATAATAATGATATATAACTACTTTACCATCTGTCGGTAATTTTTATATTTTGGTTTTCCTACTTTACCGACTGATAATAAATATATATATCTACTTTACCATCTGTGGGCAATTTTTATATTTCTATTTTCATACTTTGCCGACTGATGGTAAATGAGTTATATATCTTTACCATCAGTCGGTAATTTTATACACTTGAATTAGTTAAAATTAGCTAATTTTGAGTAAAATCTCGAACAAATTTTTTCTTTAGAAAATTGGAAAAAAAAATATATATATATATATAGTTTATAATGCTATTGTATTAGTAAAAAATATAAATATTTTTTTAAATTAAAAAAAACTAAAAACATTATTATTTAATAGCACTCAATTTATTATAAAGTTGGTGTAATTAAGATATCCAATAGCCAGTATCACTTTCATCTATATAATATTCTCATGAATAACAATGAAGACACCCATAAGGAAGATATACGTCTAATATATTAATGCATTGTCAATTCTTATAATCGATGGTTCGTTTACATAAACTTTTTTTTTGTGTGAGAATAGTGCGGGGTTTATTTTCTTTATGAATGAAAAGAGAGATTTTTATCTTCATCTAATATTATTACAACCTTCTTGTTTTTTTTACTCTTTACTAATAAATAATTAGTTATTTTTTTAATAATTTTCTGAAGCAAAAAAAATTCACTTTAGATTTTACTGACAATATTAGCTATTTTTAACTAAATTAGATGTAAAAATTTACCGACTGATGGTAAAGTAGTAATATTCCTCTGTTATCAGTCGGTAAAACAGGGAAATGAAAATATGAAAAATTACCGACTGATGGTAATGTAGATTCCTACTTTACCGTCGGTCGGTAATTTTTACTTTTTTAAATATATATTAATTATATATGTATATGTATTATTAGATAATGAATTATATATTAATAATAATTAATTATATTTAGTAATTTTTCCCCGAAATAGTCTGATATATATAAAAAAAAATAAAAAATAAATAAAGAACAATTTATTTACATAGAGGAAGGACATTTTTCTAATTAATCAATAACAAATTGATTCAGTCTTGAAGAAAATTTATTTAATGTATATAAACAGTTAAATATATATTTTTATTTATAGACTTGACAACCTCAAGATAGAAATGTGTCAGAAACATTTTTTTTTAATATTATTATAATACGATTTCTAATTTCTTTTTACTGTTAGGAAAAAAAAATCTTTATGAAAGTACAAGAAATAATTTTTTAATACTAATTTTTAAAAATTTTAATCTAATAAAACCTTTGAATAAATAATATAATGTTTCAAAAATACTAATACCGATAAGATTTAGAGGGAGAGTTTTTCTAAATGTCGTTTTAATGGAAGGTCTCGATCGCAGTTTATGGGAGTGTATTATTTGTATATTTATAAATGTATATATATGTGGGTGTGGAACTATGGGAAAACAAAAATAGGACATCAAGTGTTTTATATATGCAAATTTAACATATGTGTTGTTATTAGATATTTTCTGTTACGTATATTAAAAAAAATGATTAAAATTTTTTTTTTTAAATTAAATTAATTGAATTATTTTTAATTTTAATTTTAATACAACTAAAATGTATTTAATTATATCAAACAGTGATTTTTTTCAGTTTAAATACATAATTATTACAAATTAAAGTAGAAATCTACCTTACCAACCGTCGATAAGGTGGAAAAAATAATAAAAATTACCCACAAATGGTAAAGTAGGTATTTACTATTCCAGCGATCTGTTTCTCTATTTTGAATTTCCTACTTTACCGACTTTTAGTAAGGTAGATTCCTATATTATCAGCAGTCGGTATTTTTATATTTCAGTTTTCTATCGTTTCGCCCGTTGGTAAGGAAGATTCTCTCACAATCAGCTACTAGTATTTTTACGTTTTAGTTTTTTTCTAACCGACCGTTGGTAAGGTAGATTCCTACTTTACCCCAGTGGGTATTTTTAATATTTTTCTTACTTTATCGATTACAGATAAGTTAGATTCGTGCTTTATTATCAGTCGTTGATTTTTATATTTGAGTTTTCCATTTTGCCGCTTGTTGGTAAGGTGGATTCCCCCTTTATCAGGTTTTGTTACCGACTGTTGGTAAGGTGAATTCCTGCATTGGTCCCAGAGGTTATTTAAATTTTTTCACCTTATAGACTGTAGGTAATGTAGATTTGTACTTTACTATCGGTTGGTATTTTTTATATTTCAGATTTCTATCTTGCCTGTCGTTGGTAAGGTAGATTCCCTCATTATCAGCAGCTGGTATTTTTTTAAGGTTTTATTGTCTTATCTTACCGACCGTTGGTAAAGTAGATTACTACTTTGTCGCCTGTAGGTATTTTATTATTGTTCTTACCGTATTGACTGCAGGTAAGGTAGATTCGTATTTAACCAGCAATCGGTATTTTAACTTTTCTATCTTACCGACTGTTGGTAAGGAATATTTCTCCATTATCGGCAGTTCTTAAGAAAATTAAGATTTAAACTATTACTTATCAATGTAAAAAGTAATAAAATATTAACTTTAACTATAATAAAGTAAAAAAATTTTTAAAAAAATTTTTTTTATTTTTTTTAACTGCAATTGTGGAAACAGTATGAATAGGTAATACATAAGTTTACCGTGTAACATTCGATAACGGCTTTTACTAGTGTGTTCTCGTTTCACTGAGCGCGTGTCTGACCATAATCTGTTTGTTCTACTGTCTGAAATTATTGCTGCGAATATATATGTACATATCTATAAATTAACACAAAGCAAATAAAATCTGTCTTCAAGAAAATTTAAATTAAATATTAATATGAAAATAAAATTTATATATTTTTTATTAAAATTATTCATATATGTTTAAGAAAAAATAAATTTTTAAATAGAAAATATGCAGGAAATTTAAAAAAAAAATTAGAGAAAATAAAAAAATGTAATTATTTTGTTTTTTAAATTTGTCAAAAAATAATTTTTTAATTTTTGACATTCTTTATTTTAATAATATTTACTTTGAAAATTATATATATATATATATATATATATATATATATATATATACATATATCTATGACTCTTAATTCTTATATGTCAAGGTCGCGTCAGCTGCAGTGCATTTTTTCTCACTTGCAAATTATTTATTTTTTTTAAAAGTCTTAGTATTATAATGTACCGTATAGAAGTAAACGAATTAAAAAAAATTAATACGAAAATTAAAATTTATTTTTTTTTATGTCATTTCTTTTTATGTTATTCAAAATAGTTTGTTTTTAAAAAAAAAAATTTTTAAATAAAATTTAAAAAAAATATAAATAAAATAAAAAAAAAAATATTTTTATTATGATTTACTCTTATTGTTCTTTTTTAATAGATAAAATATACTACTCATTTTATTGTCATGTAATTAATATTTTTCAATGCA